TAGCTCGAGACAGAGACAGTTTCGCCATGTTAATCGCCAACGTCAAGGGGACTTGATAGGGCACGTTAAGAAGAAGAAGTTCTGAATTTTAGGTGTAGAATAACTTTGTAAAATGTTATCTTACAGATGATCTGACTATGATTGCAGATCCTGCATGGGCTATTTCGTCGGGATGGTGGGTAAAATATGTTGTGTAAAATGGAATTGTGACACCTGTTCTATCAGCTGAATGGCTCTCTCTTATATCAGTTAATGAATCTCTGATGTATATACATAAGTGGAACTTTCTTCCAATATCAAACAGTGTAATAAAAGAAAATATCCAGTACAGCATCTTTATTAAGGACAATATAACCGAAATATTTGTTACTAACGACTCTATTATAATAATAAAAAATTACTATAATTGTTGTTCTAAAAAAATTTCTGAAGTCAAATAAATCAATAATACAGTTTCCAATATATTGTTAAGTAATGTTTATGTAGAAATTGTTAAGCACCATTTTATGAAATGCTGTTCTTCCATCGATGAAACAGAATCATTATTAACTTGATAAACGTTGACGTTTTCATTAATTACCCAACCCATTTTATTCCACTTTTATTATTAATTATGCAAAAGACAACTACAACTTGTTTTTTGTAGCATGTAATTATCGCATTAGTAACACTTATACAAAGTAGGAAGTGAAAAACGGAATGGCTTCAGAGCTGGACAGTACACGCGATGATAAATGATACATAATGGAAATTATCACTCCGCTAGTTTATGTCTGTCACTTGTTTCGCTTCAGGTCAGAACTACTTTTAGTTTATGAATGATTTTGCTTAAATTTATGAGTGTTTTAAGGTTTATTTATCGTCTTTAACCGTTAGTACTAATTAGTGATGCGCAGTTCGGACGTGAGGCCGGCTGGATTCTTTGGAAAGAATTGACGGTAAAAAAATGTATAAAAGGTGGAAGAAAATATAATATATAATAGAATTTATAATATTCGCAACGTGAATAAAAAAGGAAAATAGGTAAAAAAATCTGGAAGACAACCATAAACACGAATTTCTAACTCGTTGATCATCATCAGCATATCAGTTATCTTCAGCCTGTATTCGTCCACTGTTGGACATAGGCCTCTTCCATTTTCTTCCATTGATTTCTACTTTTGGCAATTCTCATCAACTGCTTGTCTGATATCATCTGCCACCTCTTCTGTGGTCTGCCTAATTCTCGCCTGTTTTGTCTTGGTCTCCAGTTTGTTAATCTCTGTGTCCATTTTTCAAGATTATCAGTAATCTTTGTTCTTTTCCGAATGTCGAAATTTCGAAATCTGTCTCTCAAACTAATCCCTAGCATGGCCCTCTCCATTGCTCTTTGAGTTGTACTGAGCTGTTCTAAGCGTGTATTCATAATAAGACGCCATCCCTCACTCGGACCATGGGATGGTATAATCTTATCGATTTTCGCTAAAATAAATGCATTATTATAAATGCGAGCATTCACCTTCGAGGTGAACTTTGAATGCGAGGTTTTCTTTGTAAAGGCCATGGTCTCCAGTCTATATGTAGTTACAGGTAAAATACATTTGTCATAAACTTTACACATTTTAGACACATTGGTATATCTTTATTCTTCAAGATAAAGCTTAACTTGCCGAAAGCTACCCAAGATAATTGTATGCGTCGTTTTATTTCGGCTATTTGGTTAATAGCATTTGGTTTGGCAATTTGTATAAATGTGACAACAAACTTATAGGTCTGTAGTTTTCAATATTAGTAGTGTCTCCTTTCTTGTGTAAAAGTATTTAGGATAAATTAAGTTGGAACATGATTACTGCAGGATCAGTGTAACCAGTTTGTGGCAATAGTATCAGAATACGTTGAGATTTCACAGATACAGCTAACCCATCCACAGAATAAACTAGAACTATCTAGGAAAAGGAACAACAACAATATTTAAAACAAATGGAAATAAAAACGTTAAGGGAGTAACTAGTACAAAGTATGGTGAAGACTAATAGCACATCTTGCAACAAGAATGAAAAAATAAAGGTATAGAAGATGAAAGACATCGTACGTACGTACTTCTGACGCGTTGTACCTCATTAGTACGATGCAGTCAAGTTTTAAATCTTTAATAGTACTTACTCTATTCACGATTCCTCTATTATCCTGATCCTTCCTGATTAGAACATTCAACACATATTTTATGTTAGGTAAATTTAATTTTAAAGTGAAAAGTCGCTATAAGATTACAACCAATTTGTAAATTTCTAACCCATTGACTTATTGCGATTGAAGATTATGATCGTTGTCATAATTGGGTGTTAGAACATATAATTTTACTACACGTTAATGGTCAAAGTTTGGTCAATGGTTAATTAGGAAAATTAATCACTCTTCTTCTTCCTTCTTGTACATAGACTCCTAAGGCCTGTTTTTTCTTCGATATTAGCCTCATGCATTGTTTAAACTATCACATCTCTTCCTTGGTCTTTCAATACTTCTTCGATCATTTTTGCATCCTATCTTTTGCTATGTAGTTGGATGACCTGCTGGGTTGAAAGTGACGAGGAAGTTTCGAACAGAATAGAAATTGTACGAAAATGCAGTAGAAGTCTGTCATTGACCACACCTTTGAATGTATTGAAGTGGTACGTCTGGTCCGCTTTGTTCTATGGATGTAAAATCTGGACAACAAAACTAAAAAATCTTAATAAATTAGAAGCATTCGAGTTGTGGTGTTACTGTTGCATGCTCAGAATCCCGTGGACATTACACATATCTAACGAACGTGCATTAGAGACCATGCACAAAAAGCGCGAATTGATCAACATCATCAAAATTAGGAAGGTCCAATATCATATCAATATTTCGGAGTGATATTAACGCCCGATTTCATAATGACAACCTAAAGCACACTTTAACTAATGTTCGTTTTAGACTAAATTGAACAAACTTGAACATGATTATTATTGAAATTTAAATTTTAAAGTGATATTATTGAAATTTACACTTAAAGTGAACTTTAATTTAATGTTCACGTCAAACTTATTACGAAATCGGGCATAAGAATGCAAAATTTGGGTTATGTTACTTACTTCTGCTTTATTATGATATAAATCCACTTTTTTCGTTGCATTAATTTGTACTTAGAAGTTGGAAACCGATAGAACTTGAATTTACTATTTTTTGTTGTATTTTTATAATTAATAACACAGCATTTGCAAAATCCCATTTTCTTCAATAACTACTTAAGAAATATGCTAACAAAGCTACAAGATTTTACCGCTGCACGCGCAAGATCGTTTTTCGTACCCTCTCCAAGTACTTGCACACAGAGAATAGTAGTAGATATTTCGATGGTTTGTTTAATATTAATTGGAATCATCATTTAGCATGAAAAGTTAACTGCTAAACATAGGCCTCTTCCTCGTGTTTCCAACCCCGTATATTTTGCGCCACACTCATCCACTTTTTATTTTGTGTTCTTAAATCGTCAGTCCATCGTGTAGGTGGTAGATCGATGCTTTTCTTGTCTTTCCTTAGCCTCCATTCGAATAACCTCTTTGTCCATCGTCCATTCGTCATTCTAGCTATGTGTCTTGCCCATCTCCAATTTAGTCTAGCTATCCTTTCGATGACGTCAGTCATCTTGGTTCTTCTCCTCTGTATTCATTCACATATCTCTTTTAAATAATAGATGTAAGAGATCTCCGACTTGGATGCGATCGTAAGCCTTTGTTATGTTTCCGAAGTATCAATATGCCGGAATATTTTATTCAATGGGAATAAGCCACAATTAAAGATAAAAATACGTTTATTGACACTTCTTTAATTTCCACGTCGGAAATCGTTCTCAAAATACAAACAGTAAATTAAACAAATTTTGTTTTTTGTTACATAGTGAAAAATTCTTCTAATAATTTAATTTTATCTGACTTATTTATATTAACAATTCAGACATACATTATGCATTTTAAAGTAGACGACTTTAAAATGATATTGCCAATATTGTTGATATGCGCTCCTGGGACGACTTTACTTATAAGATAGTTCATTCGATTACATGAAATCAACTTTAACTTGAGAATATCCGTCAGAAAAAAATCATAGCATATAATTCGTCTTTAAAAAGACAAACACATGACATGATGACAGTAAAATTCTCCTGTTAGTGATTCCATAGTAAATTATGAGGGAAAAACCAGGAAAAAAACCTCAATACTATCCCGACATGGTAAGTATTTGTTCGTGCATTTAGTTTACCTTCAATAAACACCAAAATTCTGATTTTATATGTTTCGTTATTTAAAAAACATAAATGATGTATCCTCTATATGTTACTGACTTACTAATACTGGTATTTTCTTATTAATAACTTCCTCTTTTAATATTGGTAACCAGATCCTACTACATTCTGCCGAGGAATTTGCGACACAAATCCTATTGTTTGTCTAAAAATGTTATTAATTTATTGATACTATTCTCGATTTGTAGATGATGTTTTGGTACTATTTGTTTTTTAATTAAGTGAATTAGGTAGAAATTGAGCAAGCTTATCCTATCCTATCCTAGCTAACTTTCTTCTAAGTCACACTATTGGACTGTCCTCGTTAATATACTTTGGTATATTTTACTATAATAGTCAAGTAATTGTCAAGTAGCCAGCATGTTTCGATCCAGTTCATTCTTGTCCCAAGTCTTCTTGATGAAAGTTAAACCTTGAAACATTATCATTCTGGATTTACAACCCTCCGTGTGTTTCAGTCGTCCATATTTATCGCCCTTCCCCGCCGAGCACGTAGATATTCCCATATTCCTCATGTCTTCATCGATGTTATCAAGAAACCTTGTTCTAGCTCTTCCTAGAACCTTGAAACACGTATAGAAAAATAGTGAGTGACCCAAATTGACTTAAAATTCAATTGTCTATGTGTATTTATTTTGTTTTTATTTAATTTATTCGTTAACATATGTGCGTTAAAAACTAACTTTTTTTCCAGGTGCCGCCCTGGTTGGCGAGGAGATTACTGTGATCAATGTGAACCATATCCAGGATGCAAGCACGGATACTGCAATGGATCTTCGTGGCAATGCATATGCGATACAAATTGGGGTGGAATTTTATGTGATCAAGGTAAGAAGATTTTTTACTTTTGTGACTATAGCTATTATTAATTTAATACAAACAATTGCTATTATCATAAATAAAAAATAATGTCAAGTGCATTTACTCTATGCCCCATTACTTAAAAAGGCAACGCACCATTAAAAATTAGGGTGTAGAATAATATCTCATCAAAATGTTATCAAATAAATTTGATTGCCACAACACAACTCCCTTCTCAACACACATGTTCTTAAAAACGTGTCAAAGGGTTAATCACGGCTTATACATGCACACGTACGACCCTTCTTAAATAAATGGGGGTTGCCAAAATTTCGATCAAGTGTAGAATTGTCGGTGTTCACCAATCCGTGTCAACTTTAGTCTACACGAAACTGCCCCACAAAAAATTAACCCCTATTACAACGATGAGCTCCAGTTTTTTATGTTTTGATGAATAGTCAATGACTCCCTCCAGACGCGGAAGTATTTTTTTTTGTTTTTCAACAGTTGCACAATTGCTTTGATACATCTGGACCGTTCTCATGCACTTGTTTGGTTTTTAGAGTGGTGAGCACGGAATAGAGCTGTCTCTAGAAAAATAATGTTGCCTATATCTATTGCTGTTTTTTGAGGGTTGCCAGCTTACTCATAAATGAAATCAAAATATATTCAAAACTAGATGAAAAGAATCTTTGTTTATTTAATTTTTAGCACAATGTTGTGGCTGTTAGTACACAAAAGATTTATTTTTAAGTTAAAAACAATTCCACAAAAAATATTTCAAAACATTGAAATATTTTTGTGTAATTTGTTAATTTTAAAATCATGAAAGGTGTCATAAGTACTGAGTTGGCAATAAAACATTTTAAAGGATTCAAATATATTCTTTTCTTATCTATTAATTTTCTTCTAATCCTGTAGCTTATCAGTATCTTCTTTTTACCGTCTGGTATTCTTTATAAAGTTGGCTACTAATAGTAAATTGTATAAAGATTGCACAAAACAAAATAACTTAAGAACAATACTAAGAAACCAGTATGGCCCTAGCGTTATTCAGAATTTTAGGAGATTGGAAATTCTGTATGAAATCTGGAACATTGTGAAAATTCGATTAATTTTTTACGAAGCTGTAGAGCTAACAACTTAATATCAAAGTTATGCCAACACATTCAAGCAGGTTACAAAAAATTCCACACAAAACCAGTTTATCCATGACCGAGATTGTTGGTAGCCTTATAGTATATAATAAATTTATATGAGAAACAAAGAAACAAATATTTAAATCAATTTAATATTCTTTTAAAATAAAGCAGTTATAAAAACTAAATAGAAATAATGATATATTAGCAACAGTTGTCAATCTATCAAATATGCAATGAAAAATTATCACAGATGCTGAAAGAATCTAGTATTGACGACAAAGATTTACGCCTAATTCCTACTCGGAAATGCTGTTCAGGAAAACTATTGATGCCTTAAGAGAACGTATAAAAATCAATGGCGAAATCATAAAAATTTTTATAGATATGCGGGCGATATAGTTTTGATTGCTGATAATGCGGAGGATCTGCAAACATTAATAGACCGTGTAGTGGAAGCCTGTGACAGATACGGCATAAAATTAAACACCAAAATTCTCATAGTAAGTAAAAACGACGTAATACAGCACCAATTCACAGCTAATAATGAACCCTTGAAATAGTCGACAAAATTACATATCTAGGATGCAGCTTAAATAAGGAATGGGACCACTCACAGGAAATAACATGCAGATTCGTATAGAAAAGGCGAGAGCTGTCTTAAATCGCCTCAGGATTCAAGAACACTAGTCTTGAGATGCTATGTACTTTCTACCCTTTTATGTGGAGTCGAAGCCTGGACGTTGATGGAAGCAACATCCAAACGATTAGAAGCCTTCGAATGGTGGTGCTACCGCCGCATGCTCAGAATTTCCTATATCCATCATGTTACAAACAAAACCGTCATTCAACGTATGAATAAAGATCTGGAAATTATGCATATCGTGAAAATCAGAAAGATAAAATACTTGGGGCATGTGATGCGAGAAGTATCAACTAAATCAACTACTTTTACAAGGCAAGATAGAAGGCAAAAGATCTCAAGGGCGCATGAGGACTTCGTGGTTGAAGCACATCAGTGCCAGTGCATGAATGACTACCATACATCTATTGAGCGCAGCAGTCAACAGAGTTGTATGGACCAACGTAATTGACAACATTCACAGAGGATAGGCACCAAAAGAAGAATAATAAAGAATACACTATGTTTTTTAAATAAATTGTCGAATATTGAATTGAATTCAAATAATAGTTTAGTTACTCCAGAGTTTGTCAGAGAGGAAAATGTTACTGAACCTCTAAAAATCATATTGATAAGCTGAATTTTGCTAATTCTGGGACTCCAAAAAAATATGCAAAACGTTTACTACTTCAGCCCCCGATTTCTCCCCAAAAACTTCCTCGTAGGGGAGTAAAACGGAAAAAGTCGAGTTACCAAGAATCTGTACGTCGTAGAAAAAATATTTCAAATAAAAAATGTAGCTGAGATAATTTTAAACAAAAATATTTATTGGCACTTTTTGTGTAGAATGAACCGTTTTCTCAGAAACAACACTTGAAGCGACCGACGAATTTAAACGTCAGTTACGCGTGCGAAATCAATGCATTCAAATTATTCGAAATTCGATATCTTTTGATCAGAGTGTCCCATTGACAAAAATTAAATAGACCTGTGTCAAACCAACCTGTATTTGATGCAATTTTTGATTAAATAATGATATCAATAAATTATAAAATCAATATTGACATATGCGTCATAAACAATACCACACAATATATTGCTGTTAAAAACGGCGAAGATGAGAACACTGAGAACAATTGTCAAAAAATTCACTGAGAAAATTAGGAGAAAATGTTATATAGAGGGAATAAACGAGTAAACACTAAACAAAAATATAAAACAATGGCATAAGTAAAATGAAAAAAAAAATCATTTTTCTTATAGTGCCCTGTATATATTATATTGCGTTGGCGAATTATCTTTAGCCAGAAGTCTCTCCATTGCTACATAAAAAGCTCGCTAGTGTTATTTATGCCTGTCCAGTTCTTCATATTTCGTAGCCACGACATTTGTTTGCAACTTACTGCTCTCTTGCCCTTGATCTTTCCTTGAATAATTAGTTGAGGGATTGCGTATTTTTTACCCAAGTATCCAATTTTTCGTACATTGATTAAGTTAAGTAATTCTCTCTTCTTAAGACTTCTTCGTTTCTCACCCTATCTGTTCATGGTATGCGGAACATCCTTCGCAAGGTCCACATTTCAAAGGCCTTCAACTTGTTAATGAATAGATAGAAGAAGTACTTACGCGAAACAATTCTGTCTTCTATACATTATTGTTTTTTCTTTTGCGATTCTTAATTTTATTTTTGTATTGCCTAATATGAAAACGTTAATTTCTGCAGCTCTTAGATCTTGCTTTAGAGAAATATTTACAAAAACTAATGAAAACATTTGTGTCAGAAATCAGACCTATTACAGAAACAATATTTCTGAGTTCTAAAATTTTCAAAACATGAAGAAAACTTTACAAGATCTGTGTCATTTTATTTTTAATTATCAACATGAATATGTAATAAAGACAATACTTGATAAACATATTTTAAATATTGTCCTAAAGCGTGTTTGATATTCTTTCATAAAAATGGGATTTTCCAACAGAGTACATTCCTATAAATTTTCTATACGTTTATAGAAAAAGTGCCATTGCTGTTTGATATCCTTTAACACAAAGAGCAGCTTCGAGAAGTTTTTTGTCGAACTTAAAACACAAAGACACACAGAGAACAGAGCCCGAGCTTGCTACTTAGGTGAAACAAGTGTATCTTAATGCGCATATAGAAGACGGCCATAAACCAATTTAAGCTGCTTACTTATAAAAATGTAAAGCTGTTAAAGAGCGACAGACGTATGCATGGTATACCAGTGGCGTAGCGAATACTTCAAAGAAGAAACTAAAAAAATTAGTAAACGGAATAAAAAACAAAGATTCGTGAATAAATACATATATAAATATATAAAAAGTAATGATTATAAAAATATTCGAAAATTAAGATGTAGGTCAAATGAAAGCACTCAATTAGAGAATCAATTTAACCGTATTCTCGAGTCTATTCCTCTAACCAATTCGTCTATTCTTTGTTTCAAGTTAAGAAAATAACATTACGCTTATGGAGATCAGTGTTGCCAAAACTCTCAGACACTCTCTTTTGCACGGATGTCCAAGATATTCCCTTTGCTTAATTTTTGAATTTTCATTTTCAATTAACACTTAACTGTAAAGTCAGAATAACTACTAAATAAAAGCCTTATTATCATTATGTAGTCAGAGAACGACATAAAATAGCTGACATACGCACATCGTATTATTTTAAGTTGCAATTAGTAATTAGATATACGCATTCCAAGCGGTCAATATTTTCTACTGATTTCTATGATTCATTGCATATCGTATTCTCACCGAAAAACAAATAAACTGTCGTTACTATAATTAAAATAAGATAAAATAAAACTATCTTTTGTAAATACTATTTATCTAATTAAAATCATTTTCCCTACTTTTCATCTCTTGTTTCGAATGGGCACTTTTGGTCAATTACGTTAAAAAACATTAATTTAATTCATGTTTGTGGAAACAAAAATACAAATTATACAACCCTAAATTGTGCTTGTGTGTGTCGTGGCAACGCTGCGTTGCTATCGTCCATAAGAAACACATGGCCCTATCTCCGCAATGTTATTTTCTAAACGTGGAACGTAGTATAAATAGTGAGCGTTTGCTGTGATAGTTAAAAAAATATATCAATTAGTTTGCTAACGAAAAAAAATCTAATGCGTATTCGTTTGGGTTCATTCAAGGGAAGCAATTTTAGCTGTTTTTCAAAATACCCAAATTCAAATTATAATTTTTGAAATTGTCCAGATAGATTCTTTCAATTTTTAAAGTTA